TAAACATGCTTTAAACTTAATAATTTTCAAGTCTAGAGAAATATCCAAAGCAGTACAGCATGTCATAAAAATCTTTGCTTTGCATAAATGCACTAGTGTATATATAAGTTATATCTTTGCTTTGCTTTTCACATTATGTTTCATTGAAAGCAGATTCCAGGGTATAGAATTATCTGCATAAATCCTTTTTAACCATCTCATGCTTTGATATAATTTGCAGTGCTAGTTGTTCATATTTCTTCTTCTAGATAAAGTACACGTAGACAATATTTTAATTTTTGTGATCTCCAACCATAATATAATCTCTGCATAATTATTGTATTACTTATTAGGCAACATTTTAAAACCCTACTTAATCTTTAATATAGAAATAAATGTGTGGTAGTTTAATTTTTTTTTTTCTAAGAGGACTCCTTTTTAATTCATTATGGGACTATTGATTCCCTTCATAGTTATAGTGATTGTAAATCGTCATTTTAATTGACATCAAAACAAGATATTTTAATATCATTTAAGTCTATTCTTCTAGGACAACACATGAGGAGTAAATGATAATTAAGAAAACAATAGCAAGTTTTTATTGAAAAAGCTTGATAATAAACATAGAATCTAATTATAAATTTTTGTGCAAAGGATCCTTTCAACTAATATAGTTGTCTAATCCGTCTATGAGTTAAATTGATGATAGCTAAGGTTCTAAGTTATTATGAGAATATAAGTGTTTGAATTTTTTTGGGAGGGTGTTAACCCTCAAGTTGGTTGAGCATATTTATTTTAAAAGTCTTAATTGTATCTGCCAGTAATATCATGGCCCATGGGTTAGTATGTATATGGTCATTGCTATGCTCATGCCTCCTAAAAATTTTGTTGTTTTATGCAGATAATTTTATTTTTTTATCTCAATATCTTTTAAATCTTCCTTTTATATAACTTCAAAAAAAATTAATTTTTTCCTAATTTACTAAGCTGCTAATTATTATTTTCCCATGCATGGCACTGGTAGTAAAAGCTAATTAATATTAATATGAAAGCTTGTGGTTATGGGGTTGCAGGGCTTGCCATTTGCATAAAGGCTCACAGCCTTGCTGATTTTCTCTGCGATCCATTTTTCAATTTTATATTTCTTTTATCAATCAATATATCTCTAATAACAATTTGCTAAGGATCCCTTTGGCTACATTTTTTTTTTTGCCTTTTTCTTATTTTGTTCTCTTCTCATAGCCACCTGTACAATGAAAGACATTTTTAAACATTTATATCTAATAGTAAGAAATTTTTAGGTAGATTGGATACACTATGTCATTTGTGGTTTATCTTATTAGAATATTTCAAGTCATTTAAATAAAATTTTACATGTCATTATTTTAATTGATTTTATTCTTATAATAGAATGTATGTTTAATTTAATACCTTTTCTTTCTCCATTATCATTGATGTCATAATGTTTTTATTGGAGAGATCACAAATAACATGGCTTACCTGATCTACCTAATTGGCTGGATAAAGAGAGTTTGATAAGCCCATTTGACTTTTTTTTTACCTGATCCCACATTCTTGCACCAAAAAAAAAAAGAAGAAGAATTATGTTGACATGGACGTTTTCCTATGGAGCAGTTCAAAAAGAGTCCAAGAAGCCTATTTCATGAAAATATTAAATTTTGTCCTTTTCTTCTTCGTCTCCTATCTCAAAGAGAGGTGGAGAGCTGAGAGATGATGTGGGGGTAAGTCTTCTTTTATTGAAAGATCATTCCCAAAGTATCCGTTGTTTTTGTTTTGTTTTGTTTTGTTTTGTTTTTTTTGTTTTTGCAGGGGGTAAGCGTTACTCATATGTTCTGTAGATCATTGGCCAACATATGCCTAGAGCTAGGTCTGTTGCCAAAAAATTTACTCGAGGAATTTTATTAAAGTAGTCTCACGAGAGGTTTCAGATTTTAGGTGACATATGAAAATGTTATTTTAATTAAAATTTTGTGCCAGATAGTAAGGGCTCAATCTTTTGGATTGATATTCCCACACGAGGTTTATTATTGCAATGACTTAAATGCTTTATAAGCTGCCATTTAAATCTTATTCATTGTTGTCTTCTATATTAACTTTTTTTCAGCCGTACCTTTATTGAATCTTGATGAATTCTACCATTTAAGATTTTCCTTGATCCCTGACTATCTTGTGGCTTTGATTTCATCATTATTCTGTATTATGGAATCTGCATCTCAGTTTGCGATATTCCTAAAACCATCAAAGGCATTTTCCCCTTGCCCTTCTATTGTAGCTACATCTACATGTCAGAATATTGTCCTCCTGGCTCAAGGTTTTGATTTCATCATTGTCTCTTTTTGGCTTTACCTTGCTTGGTCCATTAGCATCTCTGCACTCATGCCATGAATAATTATTTTTGCAACAGATAATGGTTTTTATATGGATTTTCTAGTGGCATAAAAGAAACTTCTCTGTTGGTTGTGCAACTGTCTTCTGTGAATTGACGAGTTTATGTCATTAATTACTTGTTTTTTTAATCAAAGGGTATTCTTGGAAGGAAATCCTTACCTCCTGGCGGTTACCATGGTTGTTTCTTCACTTCATTCAGTTTTTGGCATTTTGGCTTTCAAGAGTGGTAAGTTATTTTGTATGACAAGTTATTGACTAAGCATTTTAATGATAGCAACGCCAATGAGGAAACCCTGGTGACTTAGCCTATTTTAACAACTCCATTACCTTCTTCAACAGACATCCAATTTTGGAACCAAAAAAAAAAAGTCTTTGGAAGGCAAAATCTATTGTCCTTAGCTTTATTTCCCAGCTTATTGTATTCCTTTATCTCCTTGACAATGACACTTCGTCGATGATACTTGCAAGTTCTGGCATTGGCTGCATAATTGAGTCCTGGAAAATTGGGAAACCCATGCATATTGAGGTGTCTCCTATAGTCTTCACATTGTGTTTTCTATATGTGAGCATAATTGATCAGTGTGTATTGATACAGAGAATATTGAAATGACACGTGGTTCATGGCAACTGCACAGTCTCTCACTGACCATTGTTTGATATTGTTGGTGACATTCTGATGTTTTCACATTATTTTTCTGGAACAACCTCTGATTCCTATTGCTTTTAGGGTATCTTTTTGGAACAACCTCTGTTTGCTCTTGCTTTTAGGGCTATGTTTTGAAATTACTTTCTAGCTTGACCTGCATTTTTCAATGCCCAATATCTATTTTTTTTCCATACTGGATGTCTGCAATCAGCAATGTGTGTGTGTTGTTTTCTCACCAGCTTGATAGAACGGGGAGGATCCCTATGTTAAAGTTCCGAGATTGAGAATCATATGTACAAAAAAAAAAACATAGGAATATGATGATATTGCAATGAAGTATTTGTCCTATGTTATATTATTCCTCGCTGCATGGTTCTTTGTTTACTCATTGAAGTACGAACGCCACAAGAGCTGGTATTCATGGATTCTGTCTTCACTTACAAGTTGTGTATACATGTTTGGTGACTAGTCTTTCATCTGTGTTGATCTTTCATTTACGAGTGGAAAATGGCAACACAGGAAGTTATAAGTTGCTTGCAACTTGCAGCTGAGCAGGTTGGCCATGGATCATTAACTTGATGAATATGTGTTGTTGTTGTTGTTATTATTATTATTATTATTATTATTATTATTATTATTATTAAAAAAAGCTTAACCTACCCATATGGTTGGGTGTCTCCTATCAAGTTAATCATTCCATTATTTGAGTTAAAATACAAGCAAGATGCAAGAGTAACTAAATAAATTCGGTTAATGATGAAGTTAAACATAATTTTTTTTTGTCTCTTTAATGACTCAATGGATTCTGCTTTAATCTCATGCTATCCTAATTAGAATGTCCTAAATATGGGATGAAGCATTTTGCCAAGGGAGCTTGTGATCTTTTATTTTTTTAATGATGAATTCATTTGTTGTTATGGACCATTTTTTCTATCATGGGTTCCCAAAGATTGATTATAATTGTGTCTCACATAGCAGAATGTAGTAAATGAATTAGAGTGACATTTACTTGGTCAGGGTTTTCTAAACATTTCTTTTACTTTGCTTTTCTTCTCTGGAGTTAAATGCGCATGGTCTTCAATTTATTTGGTCAAGGTTTTTTTTTTTTTTAACATTTCTTTTAAACGTGCAAGTTCTTCAGTTATGAAGGCTAAATGAATCCTACTTTAGTTTAGGCTGTATTTTTTCTCCTTGTTGGAGAAATATGTTAGAATAAATCTGTTTAAAATTTGTTGTTGCATCCTTTTCTTTATGTTTGGACCAAAATAAAATAAATAGTGGGTCAATAGTCGATACCACTACTACAAAATGCCCCCTTACTTGACGGTTATTTTAGAAATTATTTAACGGTTTTTAACCGTCAAGTAATGAGGCACCATATATTTATTTGACGGTTAAATATTTTAGATATTACTTGACGGTTATTTCAAAATAACCGTCAAATGATCACTTAAACATTTGCATATATTGCAGCAATATACTTGACAGTTATTTTAAATAACCGTCAAGTATTTAGTAATATTTGACGGTTATTTTATAACAAGCGTCAAATATGCTTTTGCAAATTCTGTGTGCCAAATACTTGACGGTTATTTCATAATAACCGTCAAGTATTCGTACATACTTGACGGTTATTTTGAAGTAACCGTCAAGTAAACTTATACTTGACATTTCTTTCTAAATAACCGTCAAGTATTTATGATGTGTTTTTTTAAAAGCTGGGGGCTGCTTACAAATACAAAGCAATCAAATATATATACCAGCCAGCCAACAATAAAAAATAATTGAATCATTATTTATATTGAAATTATAATCTAAATATCTTTAATTTATCTTATATCTACCTATACTCTAAACCCGATGCCATAAAAAAATCTATAACTTTACCTACTTTACAAGTTTAAATTTCAAAATTAATTGGCCTCAGACATAAAATTAACCAAAAAAATAAATGTGTATACCAAAACTAATTAGGCCTAACCATTGCTGTTATCCACATGTTAAACACAGCCTGAGCTACCTCTTCAAGGGTTTCCTCTATATGTGCAGCTGCATACTGAATACAGTAGGCATCCTCGAAGTACTGTATGCAAAGAGTTACAACAAATTCAAGTTAATAGCTATCTAATAAAAGTTGTTAAAATTTATAATTTAAGTATCATTATATTTAATATATACCTCGTTGGGTAATGTGGTAAGGGTATGGGTGATAATGTCCTTCAAGAATCTCATCAAGCAATAGCCACAGTCATTACTCTGATCTGGCTGGAGTGGACACTGTGCAAAAAAAATTACATATCAATAAAATAATAGTTAAAAGGCCACGGTTTGTTAATTAAAAACTCATTCCATTAGGTTTACCTTAACTATGACCCATATCTCACAAGAGTCCAATACCCTTAAGCTAGGGGACAAGGTCTTGTTGGTCGCAGTTCGATACAAGACCACAGTTCTAAGAAGGAAATAAAGAATAAATGTTAGAAATTCAATATATATGGATATTAAAATAACAATTAATAAAAATTCAACTTACTTATTAAAAAGCTCTACCATATCTGGCCTAATGCTTGGTTCTCCATTAAGAGGATCAAGATACCAAATTTTTGAAGCAACAGGGTTAACCACAATAAGCATCCAGTGCCCCCTAATAAGAAATAACAAGTGTTATCAAATAAGTAAATATAAAAAATATTTACTTTTACCAAAAGTAGCTAGAAAGTGGCTTACCCTTGACAGTAAGGAGCAAGATATAAAGTATCATTGCTTGCTCCCCTATCCTTAAATTGATTTGAAAGCTGCCTTGCCTGATCTTCAAGAGCTTCTTTTGTAATTCCATTATAGGCAGAGGCATCGTGGGGATTAATCAGCTTGAATCTCGACTCAAGGCCGCCAAGAATCACAAATGAGGTATAAAGGTGGCTTAAGTAAAAAAAAACCAGGTTAATACACACACGTGCACACATACATATATATAATTTAAGTAATTAACTGAGCATTATCGAAGAAATACCTCATGTAGAAGCTCATCAGACTAGTACTGGCCATTTCGTGCTTGAGAATTTCATTCAAAATTTCATCCCGAACAACTTCAAACAAGCCCGGTCTTCCATACAGCCCATCATCAAAACTAATGATATCTCCAATCGCAACTTGACGAGCTATCCTCGTAGCCATCGCATATGTCTTAAGAGAGGCACGATATTTGTATTCTACAGTTGGCACCGGTGCTGCTGGATATTGCGAAACTATGGCTGACTCTTTGGTATGGCCTGACTTACCTTTTAGCTTGCTCTTTCCTTTCAGCTGCACAACAAAAAAGTTAGATATTTATAATTATATTATAAAATTATAAATAATTATTTAAACCGTACCTTTTTCTTTGGAGGCAATGGGTCCTTTGCCAGGTTTGGTGTTACCACTATTACAAGGTGGCTAGGCCATGCAACGAAGCTCCCTACTGCTTCCCCTACCATCTGTGCCTCATCAGTAGGAACAGGCAATGGATAGTTGGGGTCGATGGCAACAAGTAGAGAAACTCTAACATAGTTGGGTGAGGGGATGATTATGGATTGTGTCCCTGAGAATGTTGTACACACGCCCTGTTGCAACCACTTTACGTTCAGGAGTGTCTGCCAAACAATTGCAATCGTTCTCGCCCTAATTAAACAAACAATGACAATCAGTTTCTAAAATAAAAATAATTAGACAAATTCATAAGGTAAAACATATTACCTCAAGTAGTTTTTCTGAGGGGACTGTGCAGCTATCTTTCTGACTACGGCTAATCTCACCCAAAGTCCTCCCAAGGACTTGCCCTTTCAACAACATGTCAATTAATGCTGCCTGGGCTAGTAGTTGCTGCTTCATAACGGCTTGCTCTTCTCTCAACTCTTGGACCTTGGACGAAGAAGCTGATGTTCACTTTTTTATCTTGCCAAAATATTGCTTCTTCGTGACTCCGAAGCCAACACCCCTGACACAACCAAGGTGGTCAGCAATTCCCAATGCCCTAGCCAAGATATCCTCATCCTCAGGAAGGTTGCCCTGTGAGACTTCTTGAGAGATGGAATCCTGTGTAGAGTAAATATGTTTAGTTTGGATATTCATAATTAATTATTAAGTAGTAGATAAATATAATACTTACAATCTTTTCAGTAACCTCCTTCACGCGGGGGTTGTTAATAATTCCTTCTTTATTAGTGCGGGCCAATGCCCAGAGCTTATGGCGGGATATGGTAACCTCTGATCCCTCCTCCTTTAATTGTTTTTGCTCAATGCCTGCATGCCCCAACCTCTCTGCTCTATAAGGATATTCGTTCTTCACTACTCTCTTCTTATTATGTGTACTTAATTCCTTGACGAGTTAATAACAAAAATTTTTGTTAGTACATACACATATAATCAATAAATAATACCAAACTTGAAATTTAAGAAACATTAATACCTTGAATTCCTTGTCATGCTGTGAGGCAACAAAAGTATCCCAATCCTCTTGTTTTACCAAAGGCTGTAATAAGGGAGGAACTCGAGCTACAAATTCAGCATCAGGATCTTTCAAATATTTCTGTGTGATAAAATATCTGAAAGACCGTAGTGCCCTCCCAGCCTTTTGTAGGACAAAATCTTGCCTACTCTTATCAATATCAAATCCTGACTACAAAATAAAATAAATAACATATCAAATGCATTAATTTTAAAAATAGTTTATACCAAAATATACTTAGTAAAATGTAACTTACTGCTACAGTATCCCAAATAAGAGCCTTCGTGGCCTCATCTACTTTGCGCCATGATTTTACTGTGATAAGCATAGTAGTCTTTGCCACCACCCCAATATAACTTATGAATTTTGAGGATTTAATTGCTTGCCCTTTCTTGTTCCATTGCACATCAATTTTTTTTCCTGCAGCTCTTGTTTTTGTCACCTCTTCCATTATCGTTAGGCCTCGTTGAATGTTATTGTACTCCTACTCTAGCTTTTTCTGTGTACTCGGAACCTCAGTCAAATTTGTAACTAGAATTGATGGAGGGGTATCAACAGACTCGCTATCAGAAGCCATTTATCTGTAAAGGAAGACAATTAAATCAAACATTAAATAACTTAAACAAAATTCACATAATTAATTCAAACATTAATCAACTTAAATAAAAAGAACACAATTAATCAACTTAAACAAAATGCACACAATTAATTCAAATATTAATTAACTTAAATAAAAAGAACACAATTAATCAACCTAAACAAAAAGTTTTATCATTCAAGTTCTCATATAACTTAATTATACTCAATCAAGTTACCCAACAATAATTGATATAAAAATTTTATCCCAACAATCTATTTTGTCCTATAAATTCAATATAACTTAATCATATCTAATCAAGTTATCCAACAACAAAATTAATCACCATCATCACAACAAGGGAAGCAAATTTTCAACAAATTCATAAAATGCCCAACAGTAAATTAATTTTCATATAATCTTAAATTTAATTTCAAAACTAACAAAGAACTGAAAACAAAAGCCTATATACATTCAATCACAAATCGTAGTTCTAATGAACAAAAAATTCATATTCCAATTGCTAATTCCAATCAACTTTCTAATTACAATCAATTGACAACAATATCACAAGGAAGAAGGATAGGCCAACTTACTTAAGAGAGGCAGAGCACGAGGACGAAGAAGAAGAGCAGGGGAAGGAGGAAAGAAGACAACTCGCGTTTTGCACTGTTGAGAAGCAAGTAGGGGAATTTGAAGTCAGATTTACCCGAAACACTAAACCTAAAAATGAATTAAACAGATGAAGAAGAAATTAAACTCACATATGAAAGATGGAGAACGAACCCAAAACGCTCGAAATGAAGACTTGGATGAACGAACAACCCACAAACCCTAAAAAATGGAACCTACAAGCAAAACTCAAGAAGAATCGAGTCTAAATCTATGTTTTTGGGCAGTTTTAGTGACGGAAAATGATTTCTGAGCACTTTGGGTGTATTTTTAAAAACGTTCGAGTTGCAGAAATATGAAAATGAAAGGTTCTGGAGCGTAAATTTAAAAGGCAATATAATAACCGTCAAGTATTCATTACTTAATGCTTGTTATTAAATAACCGTCAAATAAAACTCAGACATACTTGACGGTTATTAGTAAACAAGCATCAAGTAATTAACTTTTTTTATTTTTCCTTTTGAACCATATATTTGACGCTTTTTTACAAATAACTGTCAAGTCTTCCGAAATATACTTGACGGTTATTGTAAAACAAGCGTCAAATATATTTATAAAAAAATCAAATCTGGGATGCATATATATATATGACGGTTATGCCAATATAACCGTCAAATATATACTAAATTAGCGCCTTTTTTATTTGTCATTTTTCACTTATAACCGTCAAATATAAGCCGTCATATTTAGCTTATTCTATTGTAGTGTACCCTTCCATAGTAAAATCTTGTTTGCTACTCAACAGAGTACTAAGGAAAACATAAAGCTCTCTTTCTCATTCTTGTGGTCAATAAGTTTCTTGGTTCACAAAATTTGTAATATCTTCATTTTATGATGGAAAATTGCTGCAGGTTTTATCAGGATGTGCCCTCAGTTCAGCAACTAGGAGCTTAAACCTGTTGCTCATCTTCCTTGGAGGCAGATGACTTACAAGTTTCTCAACACAATCATTGGTGATCTTTTGGCCTTTGTCATTAAGATACCAACATTACATTGGCTATCTGTTTTCCATGATGGTAAGATTGGTTTCTCATCAGTTAATGGGTCATCTGTATTTGAACTTTTAACATATTTTGCAACTGATGAAATGTCTGTAGCAGCATCCACTTTAGTCTCTACTCATGTATAATAGAGTACTGAAGTTTAGTTTGGCTGAGAAATGTTAAATGTGGACCGAGAACCTTTTCTGAGATGTAGATGAAGCTTAGGTTTCGTTATTATGATGGGAATTGAGAAAGGCATATCCCATAAGACAGGGGCTCTTTTAAAATGAGAATTTTTGAAACTGAAAAGGTGGTTCAGCTTTGCTGGGAGGAACAGGAAACTAAAAGGACAAATCAATCCCCTAGTTGCATCTATATCACGGTTTTTATTTCCTTACCTTGGCCATCTCTAACCAATTTCTGTAGTTGCTACATAGCTGAGAGGTTCATTGCTACATCCCTTTTTTCTTTTGCCTTGCTTTTTTTTTTTTTTTTCGATCAGACTTTAATGGCAGTTCAGAATGATTGAAGTATATAGCCAGCTTTGACGTTTACATCTGAATTCAATGTATGTGCTTTTTCTATCAGCTTGTTACGTTTAATTCAATGTTTCAACTTTCAAATCCTCTCACATTGATGGCATTGTTTGTGTCTAGGTGTACACTATGCGGAATATCTTTTTCGCACCCACAAATGAACAACTGATCAGCAATGGTTTTCTAAAAGGATAATTAAAAGCTTAACTTCTCAGCATCCATTGACAACTATTCAACGTGGGATTTAGACATCTCATACATAGTCACCATCTTGATTAATTTTGTTTAATGTGTTATTAACTCATTCCCTCAAAGTTTGATCTTCGGTTTGTGTGTTGCTTTGATTGGATAGTTGCTCTGTTAGATGCAATAATCTTATTATTTGCCTATGCAGGGTGAAACCAGACCATTCAAGCCTTATACTGCTCGTTATCATGTTCCATTCCAAGCCCCACACAATACATCTCCATCGTGGTACTTTATCAAGAGAGCTCCTGCATACAGCATTGTCATGTCGTCATCATTAATAGAGGATTTTTTATTGCAGCAAAATCACAGTATCTTCTACGAAATCCTCAACTAAATGCAAGCATTTATTTTTCAGCTTGAATATAATATTTTTCCTTTGTATATTTACAAACATTTTGCATATCTAGATTAGAGGGTTAGAAAGCGTTTATTAATTGATTCAAGAATTGGAGAAACATCGTAAAGAGATGGGAAAGAAAAAAAGGGTAAGGAAAACAAGAATTTTAACAATCGTGTTGCAACTGATGAAAATAAGGTTATCTAGAAAATGGATGAAGTAAATTTAAGCGTTTTGCATTTTTTGATATTCAATTTAAATGACTTTTCTATAGAAGGGCATACTTTAGCAATTGTTATATTTTTTTAATAGAAAAAAAATGAAGGTTTCTCAGAATGGAAGTCTGTCAGTAATTAAGGATACAGGTGAGCTTCCTAAAGTTTAAGATGCATATGAAAATTTTCATTTTGAGGTAAGAAATAAGTGCATTAATATTGTGTAAATAGTTGTTATGATTGAATAGTATTTATTAGTAGTTATTAAGCTTTATTGGACCTTACTCTTTTGTCTTCTCTCTTGATCTACATAGATAGACAGTTGTAGCCAATTATTCATATCCGAGAAATATTTCTCTTTAAAAAATATCACATAGCATCTCTTGTTTCTTCCTCTCTGTGCCTTTCTATTCTTCCTTTCTCTCTCTTCCCTTGTGATTATTATGCAATACATTATGTGCAAAATAATTAATTTGGTGAAAAGATTATATTTGAATTCTAAATATCTTTTGGTGTTTTGATTTTTAAATTTAAGATTACTTTTTAGTGGGGAGTTTCAGTCGTTTTACATTACACAGACATCTTAATTTATCAAATTTTTATTTTACTATTGAATCACATAGTCTGAGATTCTGAATTCTAAGTTTGGTAGCATTCAAGTTGACTTTCATTGTATATGTTTTTTTTTTAAAAAAATTATTTCTCAACCTTGAATTCCATATTTAATGGAATTTTTTTCTCTTGCATATTTTCTTTTTTTTTTCTTTTGAAAAAGAATGTAATTTTGAACATTGAATTTGTGAAAAAAAGTCCAATATGAGGTGACTATAGGATATATAATGAGGGTAATATTTTTAAAAATTTAATTTGTAAAACACAAAATCAAATGAATTATTTTAGAAACATCGTACAGTGATACTACTAAATAACAGCAATATATATCAGATGCTTTTAGTGAAGCTACAGTCAAAGTAATTTTTGTAGTTGAGTCTTTCGTCATTTTAGAAGAAGTAAAATTAAATTTTATAGTTTGGTACTTCTCCTTATTTAAAAGCTATGGAGGAGATTCAAAAGGTTGGTTTGAACATATTAAATTTGGTTTGAAAAAATTGCTCAGGTTAGTACAGTTATTTGTAAATATGTCATTTGTTATTTATATATTTTTTCGATTTTCATGATTTTTTTTTTGGTTTGTAGTGGATTTTTCAAGTTATTAGGAAAAATTCTGTCCTAATTTTTCTTGTGGTAATTAGGGAGACTGCATAACAATAGCAGGTTGTGAAGAAAAATTATATAAGATGAAATTTCTTAGTATATAACATTCAACGTCTAATTTTTTTTTTATTTCAATTGGCTTTGTTTCTTTTAAGTTAATTTTTTTGTTCTTTTTTTAAAAGAAAACGAAGGGTTGTCGGAATGATATAAAAATTTTGCATGAGATGATTTTAGATATATAAGGAGATCTCTTTCGGGTTATCAAATACTCTTGGAGATCTTCTTAGTATATGTAGAATCATCTTGTGTAAGATTTTTATATCATTTCGATACTGTTGGATTCCTTTAAAAAAAGAAACAGAAACGTTAATTTAAAAGAAAGAGTCAATTGAAATAAAAAAAATTAGATATTGAATATTATGTCAAAATAGTTTAGATCATATAATTTTCATTCACCATCCATTATTAGTGAGCCGTTCACCCAAATACTATGAAAAAAATTAGGATACAATTTTTTCAATGATTTGAAAAATTCACTAAAAAAAGAATAAGAAAAATAGAAAGAATATATAAATAATACATGATATGTATGCACATAGTCGTATTAATCTGAACAGTTTCTTTAAACCAAATTTTATATGTTTAAACCAAACTTTTGAATTCTTTCTATAACTTTTGTATAAGGAGGAGTAATAAACCTTAAAATTTGATTTTATCTCCAAGATAATGGAGCACCCATCAACAAAAATTACTTTGACGGCAGTTTCACAAAAGATTTTATCTCCAAGTTGCATTGACTATAGCGATATGCCTTCCTATTTTTCTACCTTGTCTCTCTCCTCCTCTGTTTCTCTCTTCTCTTTCCCCCTCTTTGTTCTTTCCAAATTACAATTACTTATCAGATGCCATGCGATAGTTTTGGAAGAAAAACCATATTTCTCACATATAAATACTTGGATACAATTCTCTATCTATATGGATGAAGGAAAAAGATAAAAGAGTAAAGCCTAATAATTAGTAATAAAAGCTATACAATAATAACCACTATTGAACAATATTATAGCACTTATTTTTTAATCTCAAAATGAAATTTCTTATGCATTTTAAATTTTAGAAAGCTCAATTGTATCTTTAATTATTGATAGATTTTAATTTATAAAAACCTCTTCATTTTTTCTATAAAAAAGAATATAACAACATTTATTAAAATACGCCCTTCTATGGAAGAGTCATTTCGATTGAATAAAAAAAAAATGCACAATCACCTATTATACTTAAATTTGCTTTATTAATTTTTTTGAATAACTCTATTTTCATTAATTACAGCAGGGTTGTTAAAGTTATTCTTTTTCTTTACTATCTCTTTACGAATTTTTTCCTCTGATTTTTTGGTCGATTAATAAATGTTTTTTGACCTCTCCTCTGGAGATGCAAAAAGCTTGTAAATATATCGAGGAAGGTGATGGAAGAAGAGTGGGGCCACGGCGAGCTGGAGGCTGAGGAGAAACGCTGATGAGGGAGCCAAGTGCGAGCGAATGAGGGAACTGAGGATAACATTTGATTAATGGCAACAGGTCATCCGCACTAAGTTGCTTAAAATTCATCATAGTTTGATACATATGATGTCTAAGATGAATTTCCCTATATTTTCTGATGTTATCCTCTGTTTCTGTTGTGCAGGTATGCTAAACCAGCACTAGTGCATGATATTGCTGAAGGTAATTATAGTAACTTTTTTTTTTTTTTTTAATTTTCAAGTTGTATACCTGATGCTTCCATGATTCTGTTTGGTACACATGAAGTTTTTTAATATACTTGTTTTTTTAATGTGATTGTCTTCTACACTGCAACAACAGATGGCTTTAATAACATGTACTTATGAAGAATGTGTTGGCTTTAATAACATGTGAATGTGAATGTTTTGTTGACATAAAAGTTAACACAACAGGCATCAAATCATTATAGAAATCATACTTCAAGTGTGTTTGCAGCATCATTTTTAAAACTGGACCCAAGAAGCCTTCCATGAATTAAGCCATAAAATAATTAAGGAATCTCATGAACACACACACATATATATAATGTGAAGACTGAGTATGGTGCTGCCATTGCTTAACTTGAAGTTTCACATAGCAGTTTCTTAAAACTTTGTCATATTATCCAACGACGTTTGAGTTTGATCCATGAAGAGCCAAACTCAGTCACTTATCATTTAGGTTTAGTCTCAATCATTTTAATCAGTTAAACACCAATCGATTTATTTGGCAGCACAGAGACTTTCATTATTTAATTTATTTCACCCGTATACACATACTTTACTATCTTATCATGACTCTCAATGGGAAGCTTTTTGTTTTCGAGATAAAATTCCGCTTTTTTACCCCTTCACAAAGTAAAAAGTTTCAGTTTCATTTCAATCCTAAAAGATTATTTTAAAATTAATAAACTAATAAAATAACTTAAAAAGCTTAAAAAAATAGCGCCAAGGTCAAATAAATAAAATAAAAATGGCATCAAGTCGGGGTGGGGAAATTAGTGCAACATGTCAGAAATGTAGCCTAAACTATATACTACCTCCGTTTTAAATTATATGATACTTTTGAAAGAGTTTTTTCATCTCAAAATATAAGACACTTTGAGTAGATTAAAGTTTTATTAAATGCACCAATTCTAATATTACCCTTCCTCTTTTTGTAATTAATTTTCGTTTCTTTTCTTTTCAATATGTTAAATGATGGCTATTTTTGAAATTTTATATTTTTATTTTGAAAAGAAAATGTTGTTAAGTGTATTTAATGAGATTTATTGATATGTGAAATTTTGTCTAAAAGTATCTTATAATTTAGGATGGAGGGTGTTATGTAGGTTACAGTTATTTCCTATTACTTATTTAAAAAAAATAAATTGGAATAGCTTAGAAATTATCCCCTATTCATATCCTAGGCAACAATTTTACAACTGTAAAAATGTTTTGCCTGAAGGCAAGAATGTTGGAGTGAGCTGGAGATCTTTTAATGCAAAGTCACCATCTTGCTTCTTGAATTCCTTACTCGCTTGTTGTTTCAGGTTCCGCGAGATCCAGCTCTCACCATTCAGGAGTTTGAAACTGCTCCACAGCTCATAACTGTCTCCTTTTGCAAGCATCCCCGATGACAGGGATCTTCTTGTGGCGGTCCTCTTGCTACCCTCAGCTCCGCTGTGCGTAGTCTATTCTTTGCTGCTAACCAAAGGTGAACCTTGATTGTTTCAAAAGTATTTGCATTTGCATAATAGCTGTCAACATCTTCTGTTCGGTTTTTTGAAATTTGTTTTGGGTTTCGACTCAACTAAGAAAACAGTTTTTTGATATAAATTGAGCCATAGTCAACAGTCTGATCATCTGATCTCGTTGGATTTTTAAAACGTTGTTACAGCGAATGCTCATCAGCATGGCCGTTGTTGTCGCTCAGACTTATCTGGAGTGAGCCTAGAACTATGCTTAATTCTGCCTTTAATTTGCAGGAGACTAATCCTCACCTGGGCATTGATTGCAATGGCAATGGGACTAATGACATGTGTGAACAAAATGTATACGAAACCTTAATCGGAAAGCAGCAGCAGATCTTGCTTGCGACTCAAGTTGTTAAGATGATATTGAAAATTGATGTTATTTTGCCATCTGATTATTAATCATCAGGTTTAAACTAGTTTCCCACGTTCAGATTCCGAGTAATATGTTGGGTTTAGATTTTGTTTCATGGTAGAGGTGTGTTTCACTAGTCATATTGTTGAGTGTTAACATACTTGAGACTTTTAAAATGTTCAAATTATATAATTGGGTTGGGTCCTTGGAAAAATAGACCAGTTCAAGGAAAATTGTTTAAACTGAGTCCAAATCACACTAGTGCCAAGATTAGGATTTTAATGTCTGACGCTGCGGCAATTACGTGTAATTCAAGACTCATTCGAGGAATACAATTTAACGGACTCTAAATCAAACAATATAATCAAATATGCTTGGAAATTTTGTACTCACAAATTTTGATAAATTTGATTCATTTGGGGGGTTAGGAAAATGAAGATTTAATGAGTAATTCTGCAACTGATAAATAATCTAATGGTAAAGTATAATCATAATAGTATGAGAATCTTGATCTATATCAACTATTTGAACTTGTACATTCAATGAAGAGTTGAATCAGATAATCTGTTGTTGAAGTTAGAAACAATATTATCGAACTTCACTTCCATTACCTTGATATTTAAGTCGTTAAGTTTGATATATAATACAACTTAAGTCATTGCTCTAGATCAGCCAACACACACATGCACACTCTCATAAGTTATAAATGATACAGCTTACTATTTCATATTTGACTCGCATCTAGTTACCTAATTACAATACACTTTTTGCATGTCCAGTGTCAACTCATCAGATATCAATTGTCATATAAATATATATATATATATATATATATATATAGCAACATGAACAACCCACCATGCATAACATGGCTTTCCAGTTGAGGGAATGAACATTTGGAGTTTGGACAAAGCCGAAAACTAGCTAAGCTAAGGTTAATTGGCTTACATTAGTACATTACATAAGATACACAGTGATGAAGCAACCTAACCTAAGTAGCTAGTCCTTGTTAGCAGAAAGAACCATGTGAGCAAGCGAGAGGGCCAGCTGCTGAGGTAATAGAACTCACAAACTGTGAAGGTCTGGCGGCCAAACTCACAGTCTTACTGTAAACAGAAGAAGCTCCTTCTTCTCCAGATGATCTGAAGAATGCGCCATTCAGCATCAGATCTCCTTCTGACTTCCAATTCCATCTCTTCCATTCACTATCTGATGCCCTAAAGTGTTTTGTCACCTGAAGTTTAATAATTCCCCTTACTCATCATCACATTCTCAATCCAAAACCAGACAAAAACACACAATCAATCACAAATTTACGCACACAAGCAAAAAGACAACAGTAAGTCCTATACATTGATTGTGCTTTGTTTATAGTCCTTGTGATTTTATTTTATTGTTCTCACTCTCTTTAGTTTGATTCGTCTGAGATCTTAGTTCCTATTGTATTTAAAATACACAAAAATACCATAAATTGGCACTGACAGTTAATTTTGCTATAACACTATTAAATTCCTTGCTAACATGGCAAAAATATATATTCACATGGAAATAAACTGACTAGGTATGATTAAAAGTAAGCTGTGAGGGGAGGAACAGTAGCTTTCTTTTATATTTGGTTTAAATAGAATATGAGAAATGAAAACGTGATTAAATACACGTCAGCAAATGAGTTAATAGAATCAATTATATGTCAATAAAATTAAATCCATTCGCGCTAGGTCATGATTCTTATTATGTGTATTTTTAAAACTATAGAAACTAACATTGGAGATGGATAAAATTAAAGGAATTGCGGAGAACAAAATAAAACTATACAAACTAAAATCAAAACAACGTTAAGCTGTGTCCCCCACCTCTTTGTGTTCTCCATCATCTGGAGCAAGAAATCTATTGCCTTGGCTGAAAATGGTGGGATTGGAGCTCCCTCCTATTGCATAATGTTTCCAATGGCTGTAATCATTGTTCACCACATGAAAGTATCCGTACCTGCATCTGCAATTTATTTTCCATTCCACTTTCAGAACCAAGCAATACAACAAATTAGCCTTGTCTTCTGATTTTCTTAACATCGATCGAATAACTCAACAACATTAAATATATATATATATATATATATTACCTAGGCATTCTTCCTCCAAGCCCTTCTCCGAAATGATTGTACGCGACGGTGACCTGCATATTCCGGTCCTTCTCATACGAATCGCTGTGTCCCAAAAGCATAACTTTTTCATGGTGGGTCATGTAATTGTTCGAAATGGTGATCGCTGTCGATCCATGAACCACGTCAATCAACCCATCGTAGCACCTAGACAAGTAACAATGGTCCACCCAGACATGGGTCCCGCCGAAGATCGAGATCCCGTCGCCGTCCGACCTTGAACTAAACCGATACTGGCGGGGAGATACTCTCACAAACCCAGAATTTCCTCGTACACAGTCATGAATATGCAAGCCATGAATGATGATGTTGGTCTTGCGTTGTATTTTGATACAAGGTCCTCCAGCAATGTGGATGGTGGCTCCTCGGCCGTCGATTGTTTTGTGGGAATTAACGAGGAGGTCCATCTCGAGCCTGATGTTCATGTCTGTTTTGAAGATGATCCATAAAGGTTCTTCTTGGATGACGCCGTATCTTAAAGTTCCGGGTTTAGGGTTCATGGGGTGGTCGCCCGGGTCGGTGACAACGTATGTTTGGCCATCCCTACCTCCGACAGTGTGTCTGCCGAAGCCGATAGCACAATCGGCCAAACGCCGGCGATTGTGATGCCAATTGGGATCACATCTCCAGCAATCATCAATGGGGTTGCCAGTTCCACAAGAAACGAACCCTAGATTTCTCCTCGAGGCATTGGCGCTTCTGCGAGATCAATTATATGCAATTTGAATTTTGGAAACGATACTCATATTTTTAATTCCAAATAAACTATAAAAAAGATTAATGTAATTGAATTAAAAAATTTTAAGTATAACAAATATTAAATAATAATATTTTTTGGGGGAAAAAAACTCATTCTCCAGTTTTCTCTTTAACGCATCAAACAAAGCATCAAACTGAAGTTTGTGATTATTGTTGGATGCAGACTATTATATATTTGCGTTGAGCTTTGAATAAAAAAAAATGGAATGAGATAAAATGTTAAGCGGTTTTTTAAATATTATATAGCTATAGTATATAGTATACATGCATTTTTATTAAATTATATTCACATATTATTTATCACATAATATCAGATAGAAGCACTTAAAAAAAGACTAGTTCGGATATAATCTATAACACACACATTTCGGAAGCAGCACAAACAAATTGTTGCATTGGTACAAACCTTATTTTAGTGGAGGAAATTAATCCAAGCAAAAGAAAAAAAGACAAAAAAAAAACGAACAGAAAATGGCTCATTCTATTCCATATACAAAATGAACATGTGAGATCTTTCTCCCGTTAATATAGGAAGATTTTTTCCAGAAAAAAAAAAACCGTTTTTTTCATTTACTAACTACAACTATAAAATACTCTCCCTCGCCCTTCTCTTTGAACTCACATTCCTTTTCCATGTACTAAATATGTATACTAGATATTATAAAAGCGTCTTTTTTTTGGCAATATAATATATATATATATATATATAGAGAGAGAGAGAGAGAGAGAGAGAGAGAGAGAGAGAGATCAGATATGAAGAAGATAACATACATTTCAACTTGTTTAACTACAAGCTCAGGATCTTGAAGTGGGGAAGAAGAAATGAAAGCAGGGCAAAGAAGAAGCAAGAACTGCAATATAAGGAACAGTAAAAATGCCATTTATAGAAAGTTTCTTCTTTTAGAGGAAAAAGAAACAGATATACCAGACGAGAATTATTATCAATTACTAGCAGACTGATGAAAATGCAAGCGAGGATGATGACCTTTATATAAGGATTCAGTTTAAGTGAGGATCTAACTTCATTAATTAATAAATTAAACAAAAACCTCATTTTGTTTTTTAGCTAAAGGGATCTAGCCTACACTCCCCCTCACAATTTCTTAATTTATTGGGAGAATCACGGTGAAGTTCTCAAAAGATTAAATTAATGGCAGTTAACTTTTTGATAAAATTTCATGATAAATGAGTTATAAATTTCTATATAGACAGTTGCAAACTGAAAGGTATGTTCAAAATTTAAATGTTTTATTTGTAACTTAATTTTCAAGAGATTTTATTGGGGAACCTATTTTTCGTTAATTTATTCTTTCAGGACTTAATTTTCATTCTTCCTAATTAATTAATTCAAGCAACCCAAATTTTTTATAAAAATGTGAACACATACTTTAATTAACAAACAATTCATAGTTGATCCAAAGTTGAATCCATGAAATCATTAAAGGTTGATACAATATGAAATCAATAAAGGTTGTTACAGTTTATAAGGATTTGGTGTCTAGTCTATTATCTTTAAAGTCATACATTCAAATTATCATGCTATCAATCTGAAGCGTTTTTTTTTTTTAACTCACATGTATAAATAAGAGTAATTTTGTTTGAGGCATCGTCAGACACTAAATTTAGGTACATCTCCCAATGAGAATTCAAATTTTGGTTCACCACATTATAAGAAAATAATCTCTTCCACTAAACCCAACCCATATTGATGATGTAAAGTGCTTTTTAAGACTACTAAATGTATATCTTAATCTTGATAAGTCTCAAAACTCAACTCACTTAAACTTTTTCTTATGCATGTATAAAAGTTGAACCCAATTGAAGGTGGTGGCACTCATTGTTCCGCATGCAAGTATCATATATATATATATATATATATATATTAATATATATAATATAGAGACAGTTATAAGGTAGGTTTTGTTGGTTATTTAAAGATTAATTAATGATGATTGAATTTACAGCCTTTCATTTAATTTGATGTCACTTGAATATACAAATTTTGATGCAAATTTTGAAATGTGATTTGTGATCGTCACTACTGTTGCTTTCATGAATGCAATATGCTTTGCAATGTTATTGGTAATACCCTTCGTGATGCGTCAAGAGGTGTTGGAAAGTAAACTTGGTGTTTTTTTCTTGGCTAAATTTTTAATTTCTGTGGAATTAATTACAACTCTTGATGTAGAATTGTAGCCGTCTATGTCTTACTTAATTATTCAAAAATTGATATTATTTGACACAGGACGGTAAAGGGTCACAGCTTGGATATATTTGACTAGCCAAGAAATAAAATTATGGTCAAATTTAATATTCCCAATTCACAAGCCAAAATACCAACAAAATCTGTGAGAGACAGCCCTTGGAGGTATGTGTGGGGCGACAATATATATATATATATATATATATATGCTCTCTAAAATATAATACAATATAATATTTATTGGAAACCATATTATTTAAATTTCTGCTTTCCATTTAAAAATAGCTGAAAATCTATTTGCAAATTTTATTATATAAAGTCGTAAATAATATATTAGTAGTTACAAATCTCTAGGAGTAATTCAATACCAGTTGCAAATTGTAGAGGTGTGTAGATCCAATACTATCAAGTTAATTAGGAATCTAATTACAAATTTTACTATATGAAGTTATTGATGGTATAATACTAATTGATTGTGCTGTGAATGTGAAACAATTTAGACCTACTGGTCTACGTAATTTTGCATATAAGATTATTACAGAAGTTACTAGTTAACAAAACGGGAGGCATCTTAACCCAAGTTATTTCTAGCAATCAGAGAGCTCTTGTGCCTGATATACTGATACAAGATAACATTTTAATAGTTCATGAAGCTTTTCACTACCTAAAAAAATAAGAAGAAAGGTAGGAAACTTTGAAATGGATGTTAAGGTTGACATGAATAAAACATATGATAGGCTTGAATGAGATTTTATTGAGGATGACATGAGGTGTATGGAGTTTAGTGCAAGATGGGTACATTGGAGAATGGAGTCCCTTAAATATGTTAATATGAGCTTGGTAATGCTGATTCGAAAGTGAAAAGGCGAATTCGTCAAGAGGATCCTCTCGGCTATGGTCCAATGGAATGTTGAGAGAGGCAAACTGAGTGGAATTAAGCTAGCCAGCAAGTAAGTGCCCTGTGTTGACACATTGTCCGTCTGCAGATGATTCTTTCTTCTTTAAGATGCTAATAAGAAGAATTGTAAGAGTTTTGATGAGTAGTCTTGATGATTATTGTATGGCTTCGGGTCAGTTGGTGAATTTCGATAAATCTTGTGTATTTTTTTCCAAAAACACACGTGAGGGGTGAAGAGGGAGATGTTTGATGTGTTGGGAACATAAGTCTTGATGTGGATTTGGCTGGAGAGTAGAGATGGGCCATAAAGTGGTGAGTGTAGAGGAGAATATCCTGTTCTTATGTTGTCTCAAAGAAATTGTGGAATGGTAATGCCTCCTAAATTTCTGCAATATTTATTAAGAAGTAAGACTGAGGTGGAAACAGCTAAGCGTGCTTTGTTTTTGTTTCAATGGGCTCAATTGTGTTGGTTTAGATGACCAAGTGGGTTGAATGGGATAGCATTATTTGCAAGTATTTGCTAGGCCATTTGGAGATTCAGATATGATTTCATTTTTGAGAATGCTGACACTGATGTAGTTTCTTGTCTTTCTAGGACTGTTCGTTTGGCTACTGAGTTCTAGCGGTGTTGATCTGAAAGGAAGAAAGGATATGTAGCTCATGCACATCATGAACGTAAAATGAAATGGTTGAAACCAAGTGCAGAAACCATGAAGATTAATATAGAGGATGCTTAATGTCATATCAACTTTTATGGCTGAATGTTTAGCAGTGATTAAAGGATTGAAGGCTGTGGGGAGATTTCAGGAGTTGAATGATGTTAGGTGTGATTGGAGGTGTAGTAATATTCTGCAGAAATGTTTCATTTTATTGAGATCTTATGCTACTCGTTCTTTGTCCTTGATCTCTCCTGAGGGAAATAAAGCTACAGATTTTTTTGGTACCTCATGAATCGCATGGCAGGCTCCTCATATACATAGTTTTAAAAATCGAATTGGACCAGGCAGCTTAACTAGAAATTGATCACTAGTCTAATTTGAATTACTTCAAAAAATGGCCTTTTTTGAACCGGTCAAAAACAAACCAAATCGGTTAAAAAAACAGAATTGAAGATAAAACAAAACAAATTTCCTTTTTACTACACAATTGGGCCTGAGTTGTAAATTTTGCCAACATACAACTCAGCTCATATGTTTTCAGCTAGCACCCCATGACTCTTATATAACAATGCTATGTACCTCCAAGTCATTCTTTCTTCAATGTGGGACATAGGTATAGTAATAAGCGTATGAAGCAAAGCAAATGCTGTTTTTTTTCCCTCTTTATTCTCATTAATATTGATTAATTCATTTTACTTAATCCTTAAACTAATTTTATAATGTAAACAAAATTATTTAATTTTTATGCTTCTAATTATTTATCTATATTTGTATATGTAGTTTATATTTAAATTTAGTTTTAATAAGTCTCCTAAAAATACCTTATAGTTTGTCAATTTTTTATGTAATTGATATTTATTAATCAACATTGAATAAGTTTGCCCTCTTAGCTTTCAACTTCATTTATCTTACAATAATTTTTTAATCATTATCAATAGATAGTAATTTTTTTAAATATTGATTATCAATATTATACACTAATAAAATTGTATTTCAATAAAAGAGTAAACATTCATAAAATCCCATTTTATAAATTTAATCTTAAAAAAATATTTTAAGATATTAATTATAATATAATATTTAATATATAAAAATTTTAACATAATAATTTAATCATAAACAATTTGACCATAGTTCGACCCTTAAACCATAAATCATTACTTTGACCAATTCGATGACCAGTTTGATTTTTAAAGCTTTGCCTATATGTTGCATGCTTGCATGGATTAAAAAAAATCATTTTAAAACATATTCTCTCTATTAAAAAAAATATAAAGTATTTTTTGAGGAGTTAAATATTTAAAAATATAAAGTATTTTTAGTCTTTTAAGGTGTAATTATTATTTTTTTTTCAAAAGTACTCCTATTGAATAAATTATTATATATTTATTTTAGCATAAAACATCCTATTAAATAGAGGTAAAGACAAGTAATTACCTTATTGGGGGTAAAATTTGATTAAAAATATATTATATTTTTTAACGAGAAGAGTAATTATGAAGTATAAATACTTTGAACAATTTTTTAAAATTATGAGGTAATTTTTTTTATAAGAAATAAATTTTTAGTCCTATAACTTTATATAAGAATTCAATTTAGTCTTTTAATTTTATACAATATCTTTTGAATGCTTCAACCCAAACATTGTTATTGTTAATTTCAAATGACAATTTTTATGCCAATCATATTGTTATTTTTAAGATAATGTTTTGTTATTAATATTGAAAAGTTCAATGTTCATATTTTTTATTATGTTTTATACAACTAATAGATTAAAATGAAAACTTATATGAAATTAATGAGAGACCAAAATATCATTTTGTTTTGTTTTTTCCATTGTCCAAGAGACCGAAGGAAATACTAACGGTTAATCATAGACACCATCATATGTCTTATTATAATAAATGAGTGAATGGTGTATTGCTTATCAGCCCTATTCTTCTTTCTGTCTCTCGTTCATTATTCTGCACTGTTCTGTGTTCTATTATAAGACATCTTTAAAAAAAAAAATTCAATTTTCAATTGTCAATTAATATAAGACACATGAATGATTATTTAGAAAAAATATAATTTTTGGTTTCCATGATTTGCACAAATCTTAGTATAAATCCCTATACTTTTTATCCATTGTTTTAAGTCTATATTTTTTTTGTCAGTAATGTTAGTCTTTTTATTTTTAAAAGGACATTAACATAGTACAAATAGTATTAAAAATGTTGATATATCACTGATATCATTAGTTTTGTGCCGAGGCGTTACATTATTGATGAGATAGATTTTTTAATTAGAAAAGTTTTAGGATGGGAAAAAGTCTCTCCATCAACTAAACAAAATTTGACTCACTTAATTGAAGGTCACTCAGGCATAATCAAGGTGGGGTCTTTTGATCATTTAATATATATTTAATGAGTCAATTGTTCTTTTTAAATTTTAGGAAAGTAGTTAAAAATATCTTATAATTAGAGAAAGGATTATTATTATAAGAGCACATTTATGAAGTCCATTGCTCTGTCCATTAATTTCATATAAAGTTGAATGCATAAGCTTTTACTCACAACATTACCATCAAATTGCATGACAGTTTGGAGACACAGCAAATCTTAATTAGTAAAATCAACAGAAATTTGAATAGGAAACCGATGAATCAAAATTATCATCAAAGAGGAGAAAGACCACGAAACAAAGCAAGACGAGCTTTATTTATTTATTTATTTATTCATTTTTGGCCCTGAAAGAGCTTGATTTAATAATAACAATGGACTTTAACATCCCCAAGCTGTCACTGTTTCCATTAGCCACCCTCTAGTTTAAGATTTGCATCTCCAAAGTAGTGAATATGATAATCTTACATAGAGTGATTAGAAAATTAATCATGACTATATAAGTGTGTCCTATGACTCCTTCCAAAATAACTTAAGCTAATCTAATATAAATAATAAGTACTAGTTTATGATTAATGTAAAACTCTAGCACAAACCATAAACTTAGGATTTTTGATTCAGAGCAATCCGGATTGTAAGTTTTAGAACTTAAATTCAAACTGTAACACATTTGATTAAACTGGCACAACTCTATTGCGAGTTGAATCAAGGACTTATTGAAAAAAATCTTATTTTATTATTGGTAAGCTCCTAAAGTGAAATGAAGTATAAAAATGGATGGACCCATATCCAATATTGAATGAATAGCTTAAAGAACAGGGCATTTGGTAACGTCATGAAGATTGAATTTGGCGGTGACATTAATAGAAATCGTATCTTGTCAGTAGACACAAACTTCAAATATTGTCACTTTGCATTGTATGCCTTGAATTATTGTTTCAACTTTTTCAATGCTCACACCAGACCCTGTCTCCCTCGAATAATGCTTCCATGATCTTATTCATTCATCCATGTGCTTCCCTGTTTCAATAATTCATTAAATTTCATATCACATTTTCAACAATTAAAAAAAATATAATTCTTGGTTCTATATTTTTATTAGCTTGTTTTGGTGTTAATTCTTGTATTTTTTTTTTTTGGCGTACTCCAAGTCTTTTAAATGTTCTTTATCTGCAGATGTTAGCATTTATCATCACTAATAAAGTTAAATTTGGTTCTGTATACATGACTCTGTTAATTTATTGTTGAATTGGTATGAATACGATAAGTTAGACATTGTATTAGTAAAATTGTTATTAACATGTCTGCTTATCTTCCATATCGGTCTGTCTTTTTTTTTTTTTTTCTTCTTTTATGAAGTTTCTTATCTATTGTGCTTTAAGGATTTCAATTTAATGTCTTGCTTTTTTTTTTCTATTCATTTTTTGCACAATTTACCATAATTTTAACAAGTTGGCACAATAAGTAATGGAATTTATGTACACACATTAGCCACCATTAAGTTTTAAGGGTCATATTTAAAAATATAAAAACTGCCATTGTAAACTGATAAAATTTAAAAGCACTTAGCAGGGGAAAAAATACATGGACTTGTATCAAAGCACATTAAAAATACAGGAATCAATAATTATATTTTCTTTAATTAAATAAAATAAAAAGTACCCCCTTTTTCTGGGTTTGTTGTAGAACATTGAAGCTGTACCTTATCAATTCTTACACCAGCGCCTTCCATAGCCACACAAGCTAAGGTTACAGTGTTACAATACAATGCAAATCGTTACTTAAAAAGTCAAAAACCAATATTCAATATACAGAAAGTGAGGTCATCAGATCATGTAGGCTTCAACTCATATTAATTATATATATTCAGCAACGAGAGCCTTTTCTGCAATCAAGTGTTCCAGCTGCTGCTGTTATAGAACTAACCAGTGATGAAGATTTTGCAGACAAACTCGAAGCTCGAGCATAGCTTGAAGACGATCCTTTCCCAGACAGCGTAAAAAACGCACCGTTTAGCATCAGATCCCCTGAAGACCTCCAGTTCCAGTTCTTCCACACACTCTCAGGTGAATTCTCTCTCTTCATCACCTGAACAAGTCAAACTCAAAAACCATTAGATCTGTGATTTCAATGCAGACTTGAATGAATGATCAGAATCAGAATATTCTCAGTTAATTGAATTTTGTGTAACCTCTTTGAAAGTTCCATCATTTGGAGCGAGAAATCTATTGCCTTGGCTGTTGATAGTTGGATTGGCACTACCACCTATAGCATACATCTGCCACTGAGTGTAATCATTGTTCACCACATGGAAGTACCCATGTCTGCATCTGTAAATGCCAACAACACAAACATAAAACTTGGGTTCATTATGCAGTTCTAATGGATTCAAACCTTGATTCTGTCGAAAAATGAGAAAAGTTGTGACCTTGGCATTCTCTGGACTAGCCGTTCACCGAAATGGTTGAAGGCAATGGTGACTTGCATGTTCTTGTCCCGTTTGTAACTGTCACTGTGACCGAGAAGCATGACCTTGTTATGGCGACTCATGTAATTGTTTGAGATTGTTATCGCTGTGGATCCGTGAATGGCGTCGATAAGTCCGTCTTGGCAATTCCATAAAGAACAGTGATCAACCCAGATATGGCTTCCTCCGAAAATGGAAACTCCGTCGCCGTCCGACACGGTTCTCCACCCGTAATGTGTCGGAGAATCTCTGACGTAGGCATTCCCTCCTCGTTTACAGTCATGAATGTTGATTCCATGGATTATAATGTTGGTCACGAACTGCATTGTGATGCAAGGACCACCTGCGATGTGAACATTCGTTCCTCGTCCGTCGATTGTCTTGAAGGAGTTCATCATAAGTTCTTGTTTGAGCTTGATCACCATGTTGTTCTTGAAGATGATCCACAATGGCTCATCCTGTATCACACCGTATCTAAGTGTACCTGGCTTGGGATTCACAGGGTGGTCGCCGGAATCGGTAACGACGTAGAATCTGCCGTCTCTGCCTCCGATGGCATTCTTGCCGAATCCGATGGAGCAATCTGCGAGACGCTTTCTGTTCTTTTCCCAGTTGGGATCACACCTCCAACAATCATCAATGGGGTTTCCTGTTCCACAGGATAGAAAACCCAAGTTTCTCCTTGACGCATTGATGCTTCTGCTATGGAAAACAGAGTTATGAAACAGAGATTTATGTTATGATCAATATGAGCAAAATGAGAAAATTAGAATGGAAAGAGAGAGAGTGGTGATTGTGAGACATACTTGTGCACTTGTTCGACGACAAATTCTGGATCTTGAAGTGGGGAAGAGAGAATGAAAGAAGGAGCGAGAAGTAGGAGGAGGAATGTGAATGAAAATGGGGTTGCCATATCTGAGTGCAGAAGCTAGTGGTTATGATTCTCACACACACACACACAGAGAGAGAGAGACAGAGAGTGCTTGTGATGTTTTTGTGAAGAACGGTGAAGGCAATGTGAGGATTATATAGTGAAGAGCAGGGGAAGCTAGACTGATAATAAAATGTTGGTTGTAATGGATAACCTTTATTTATTTATTAAATTATTTATTGATTGTTTATTTTTTTTAAATATAAATTTTTATGCTTAAACTTCTCAACTATCCCTTCTATCTCGGAAAAGCTCAATCCTCATAATTTTTTGATGAAGTAGGTATAATTTAATCTTTATAGTTTTTTAACTCAAAACAATTAAATTTTGGAAAAACATAATTTTAAGTTACACTTTGCTCAAATTTTATTATAGGTTACTGCATTTTTTTTTTCTAGGTTCCTATATTTTCCTTTAAATTTTTTATAGTTTCTCTTGATTTAGGAACTAAATTAATAATAATTGAAGGAAAGTTTAAGGAGTAAAATTTATGTTATCCCTTTATTATTATTATTATTATTATTATTATTATTATTATTATTATTATTATTATTATTATTATTATTATTATTTGTTTTTTGGGTTTTGTGTAACGTAGTTTTGTGCATGATTAATTAGGCTTTGTAACCCTAACATTACTGGAGATGTATTATCCTTAAAGAATACTCTTAATCTTACTTAGCTTGCTTGATTCTTTGAATGTCAAAGTATATTATTAGTGAATTATATTCTTGAGAGATCATTTTGAATACGTGGAATAAATTAAGAATAACTTAGGTTAATTAGACTCAAATGGTGAGTGCATGTGTATAACTAAATATATATTTAATATAATTAAGGACGGCGTTGACTATTGCTTAGTCAAAATATTTGAGAGCCGTGTAGTTGTAATGTAGCATGCATATTCTCATGTTAATTTGTCATCTTTTAGAATGCCGAAAACAACGTTGTATTGTGTTGGAGCAAATAGCAAGCAAGCTAAAGCCCCCCCTTCTCTCTCTCTCTCCATACATCCATACATACATACATATCAATGGGATTTTAGACATTATGTTTATCAATGATGGTTTTTGATAAAATGGAGGAAATTAAACTCGATTCTGTTCAAGTGGAATGAATTAGAGAGGGAGGGAGGGAGGGAGGGAGAAAATATTAGTCCTTGTAATGGTATAACTCAAAAATTATAAAAGTTAAATTAATTGTTTTGGGTTGTTAAATTCAAGAGTTAAATTAATAAATGATTGAAAATTTAAGAATTTAAAATTATATTACTATAAAAAAATCATATTAAAAGAAATATATATATTTGTTCAGTTTGATGATACTTGAATTCGGATATCAAGTTGGCCAAAAAAGAATTCGGATATCAATAAAGCGGCAAAATCAGGTGCATGATTTCGTTCTCTTTTTGTATAAAACATGTAGCATTAATTCACTTTCTACCTTATAAAATAGGAAAATAAAAACATATGATTGTAGCAGTTAAGTTTGAGCAATGAAAATATAATAAAGTTTTTACCTCAAAATATCTTGTATTAGCTTAATTTAGAATAGTTTGAGTTGCCATTAAATTATTTTCCCTTGATGCAGGAGAGGTCCAAGATATGAATACTCCATGCAAATATATATATATATATATATATATATATATATAATTTAATATCCAGGTCTGAAAAAATAAAAAATAAAAGGTCTGGCGAAAAACACGTGGGGTAATCGCCAACCGCGTGAGAGGAACGGAAGTGTGATGACGTGGAATGTTGCTGACTTTTCTGGTTCCATTTTCGTTCAGACAATGTTGACCTCTTTTTTTATCCTTTAATTTTTTAAAAGAAATTGCTATTTAGTAAAATTTATTAAATTTTAAATCTAACATTAAGCTCCACATGGGAGGTCCGAGCTATCCGCTGAGTGCCAACGTGGAGGATTTTATAGTTGAATTGAAAATGCATGTTCTCTCCCATGTGTCCTTTTTTTTTTGTTCACACTCATATTTTTCAAATAGACAATATTATTATGAAATATTCTTAAATAATAAGTAAATAAATAAATTGATATTTTAACCATTTTTTTATCTTTTATTTTAAGAGTATTTTTTTTAATTTAGATCTTCTTAATTAAAAACTGATGATATATAATACATTCAGCTGATTGAGCCACTAATTTTATTGGTTTTGATCTATTTATGACAGTTGGATAGACTTGTTCTTTACCGATTTCTTTCAAGGTTATTCCCTCCTTTATTTATATATTCATGAGTGACTAGTTTGCAGGTTTAAACTAAGCTATTCTAATTGTTTTATGTTATTGCTAACCTAATTGTTGCATTTTCAAATAATATAATGTGCGCCAATGGTCTTATATATTGATCTAATATCAGTTTTCATAAAAGCTGGCTAGCTAAAAGGGGAACGTGGGGACTTAATGCCAATTGATGGAGCATTGTTTAAGTCATTATTAATGGATGATACTAACATGCAATTATTATATATTAATTCAATGCCCACTTTTTTTTTCATTTAAATTGTGGGTTAAGATCATGTTTCACACAAACAATCATTAGCATCATCATTGTCATGACCCACCGAAACAAGCGTGATTGACACGAAATACAAGGTAAATCTCAATTCATAAGTCCAGTCAATTATTAATGTCCCTAATCACACTTGGGGAAAAAAATACTTCATTAGTATAGTGATAATTGATATTGTAATGTTCATTTGTGAATGTTTGTATAAAATTCAAGATTAACTCCTTCAAGAGTTGGATTATTGCTATTTTTAATATGAAAAGGCCTAGAGCAGTCAATAAACTTTAGTTGGAACGAAATATAAGAGTTCTTCTCTCAATCTTTAAATAATAAAAATCAACGCAATGGACATCTTGCTTACAATTTTATAATTTTTTTTCAACAAGATCATAAAATAAATTATCATGAATACAGATTTACTACAATAATTATTACATCTATCTAACAAGGGATCCTCTTTTTAATGCAGATGAAAGAGGAGGTACATTTCTATTATCTAAAGTATATAAATAATTTAGTAAGTGCATAATAACAAGGTTCATTGTTAAAATATGTAAAATATAAACAAATAAATACTAAATCTTGTTTAACTTCCTCAAAATGAGAGCCACACCTTGATAATTTGAAACCTTTAAAACACTCATAGTACATGTAAATCGATGTAGATACATATTTGTAGTATTGAAAATAGAAATCAAAACTAAGATTTTAAAATTTTTTTAATTCAATAATAAGAGTTTAATGAAAGCATTTCTCTAGAAAACCAATTTCTTCAGGTGAGCCAACATAGCACGAGACATCTATCATATTCATGGGCACATTGTCCATATAGGAAAATCACCAAGTAAGCGGAGCGTGCCATGAATAACAAGCACGGCTTGAATGTTATGAATAACAAATGTGAGCATATAGTTCACAAGAATATGCAACAAATCTGATACAATTTAAAGTCATGAATATTAAGCATAGACACATAATCTGTGAGGATAAAATAATATATCTGGTGTAGCTTGAAGCCACGAAAACATGCGTGATCGTTCACAACAAACATGTGTGCTTTGGTGCCCCTACAAATATTCATAGAAATAAACTTTTCAACATATGAACCTTTTTATTTTAAAAGAATATAAATAGCATTCATAAACCATTTTTCAAACTTTCTTCTATAGGCTCATCTATGCTTATAAAAATTTCTTTCAGTAATAAAAAGATTCTCATCACTATAAAAGTACTTGCCAAAATCTCAATGTCAATTATGCATCAAATACTTGCTAAATCTTGCTTTTAAATTTGTATACAAATACTTGCTAAAAGCTCTTTTAGCACAATGAGGCCGTCTTTAGAATGGAGATTAAATAACACTTAATTTAAAATAAAATCAAGGCTTTCCTGACATTACAGAAACTAAATTACAAACTTTGTATGAGACCAATATCATAATCAAGTGAAATTTGAGGACTAAAATAGTAGTTCAACCAAATCAATAATTAACAACCTTGAAAGCTTTAAATTTGGGTCCAAGCTAAGACATATAACTATCAACATGGTGTCCAGTGTTTCTCCACTAAACTATGAGACACTTTTAGACTTCTAGTGACTCAAATGCTAACTTTCAAACAAGAAAAATAAATCAAGCATATTCTGAAAAAATAGCAGGGAACACATAAGATCTTATTGACAATCATAAACCTTAAAAATCAAATTTCTTCTCATGTTGGTCATTCTCTTCATATTTGGCAAACCCACTTTCAAAAGATTACTTTCCTACAAGTACTACTAAAAGCTATCTAAACATGAAGTAGAGGAGTATTTGCCAAAATATTAACTGTTGAATCACTATTAGAGAATATGGTTCTGCTACTCATTAGCTTTCAAAAAATGAAAAATTTTGGATATTTTTTGTTTTTTTTCCTCTCTTTAGCCTTCAGTTAGTATATCTTTATAAATATTTGTTGTACGTGCAAGTTATCTACACTTTCCATTCTACTGTGAAATCTTTTTAGTAATTAATTTTTTTAATAAAATAGACAAGTAAAAAAATCAGATGGATCATTTATTCAACCTTAATAAAGTTCATTTGTTTAGGGAATTAGAAGCCACAGCAACATCATGTAATCAATAATAATGCATATATACTAAATAACAATCCATCAAGCATGAAAGATTCTTTTGAGTAACCAACCAAAGCTTTTCACCACACGATATGTGTGTATATAAATTCATATGTATATTCAAGTAATACCTATATCTTTTTGAGTCTCAATATAAAAATTGAACAAACTGCATTCCAATTTTAGTCCTTAATACAACCAACATATTTGATTGCCCCATTCCAATAAAATTCCTCTTCTACATGTTTTAACAAACATCTTATATGTGTTACTTACTAAACCATTCAGTCAAAGTTCTCAAGCTTAAAATTCCTTGCCCAACAATCTCCAAACATCAATATTTAAAATTTATCAAGAAACAATTTAAGTCCAAGAAAAATTCAAATCCACATCTATTTTTTTCAAACATCAACCAGGCAATAATCCAAGTCGCAAAACTCACACAAAAGATGCAAGAGAGAGATGATGAAGCTTGAACTCACCAAGGAGCAAAGGAGGTAATGGATTGAAGGATTTGAAATATTCAAACTCCAAATCTTATGAAAGGTCACAAATAAAGTTTCTACTAGACCACTAATCTTTTTGTTATATATATTCCAAAACTTATAAAAATACACACAAAATACCTTATCATAAATATTAATTAATTTTTTTCAAAATTCCTGGGATATTGCAATCATTATTACTAACAGGTTATTAATTTGATTGCTTGAGACAATAGCTCAAACAATGATAAATCCCATTGAAGATGTCAAGCACTCCCTCCTGTTTGTATTTTAGAATACCTTATAGAAGGTCTCTTTGGTCTTTAATATAAGGCAATTGATAAAGTATTAATTATATTTTTCAAATATTACTCTTACTTCAATTTATTGGCCATGAGAGGGAGTATAATGTAAATGTGAATTTTTTTATTTAAATAGGGATAAAATTAATGGTTTATTATGTTTTTAGACAAGGTTAATAACCACATTTCCTTAGTTCCAACAAAGTAATGAGAGATGCCTTAAATAATTTGTTAGGGAATAAAACAATTTTTGTTGGTGAATTAAAAAATATAATTATTTAAAATTTTATTGTTATAATTATTTATTTATAGTTTTTATACAATTTTATTTTATATATTATAGAAATTATTATTTTTTGAAAAATTATCAAGGCAGTATTTAATTATTCTATTAATTTTACCATATGTTTGATTACAAGAATGGGGAAAGTGAAAGATTTCAATAAGTTTGATTTTAAAAAATATAAAGCAACGTTGTTTAAAATTTTTAATTAATGTTACTTACCTTTTTATTTAACATTTTATCAATATTAAAAATGTTCAATTGTGCTTATCATTTTTTTCATAAATCCTACTGATTAAAATATTCTTTTCTCTTCATTCCCCTAAACTGAGAGTTAGGATTCTCATGCATTGCACAATATAAAATCTAGTTATTAAGATGTGAAATTTATAATAATTAATCAAGCCATCTCTTAAGATTTGTTTTCTTGTAACTAGCCTATGTGTTATCTTTGTTTAAGGGTATGTTTGAGAGTATATGATGAAATGGAAAGGAACAATCATTAATGGAATGAAATATAATGGAGTGGGATGGAGTGGGATGGAATGGAACATTTGATTGTATGAAAGTTTCATTAAAAGAATAAATAATTTTATTTAATTATTATTTAAGAATAGTCATAAAATTAATAGATTTGAATAAAATATAATTATACTTTTTAATTTTAAGGTAAGGGGGTGAAAGAGTGAGAGAGAGTGAAAAAAATAAGTGTAATTTTATAAAAATGGTATTTATATCATATCATTCCATTTTTAGGAGTAAAAAAAAAAATGAGTTTAGGATGGCAAGAGATGACTTGAAAGGCAACCCCAAACTATTCCATTCTTTTTTAAAATTTTCTTTCAAACAATAGCATAAGGCTTCTAGCCATCTCATCTCATTCCATTCCATCTTCCAAAAAAAAAAAAAAAAAAACCCAAACATTACCTAAAGTTGTGTGCTCCTCACATAAAGTGAAAATATTATTATTCAACTGGTTGTTAGCAGTTAAGTTCTCGTGATGCTCTTTTCATCACTTTATATGTTAGATATAGAATACACTTGTGAAAATGCAGGTTTAACATTTGTGCCTATCATAGGTCAATAGTAGTATATGTGCCACTTGTTGAGAAGATTGAGTAATTTTAATAGTATCGACTGAACTTTTAACTAATCTCATTACTAGAATTGTATGAATTAATTAAAGATAAGGAAAAATATAATCATCAGTCCTTATAGTTTGATTAAATTTTACTTTTAGTCTCTATAGTTTTTTTTTTCAGCATTTTTCATTCTTATAATTTCAGCAAGATTGAGTGACATATATTATTTAGGTATCTATGGTTTCAATGTTTTCAATCCCTATAAAAACTGAAAATACTAAAAAAAATTATAAGGATTAAAAGCAAAATTCGATAAAATTAAAATAACTAATGATTATGTTTTCTCTAAAAATAATTAACATCTAAATTATAACCAAGGATGTTGGTAAAATTGTTACCTATTCATTCAATAGTGACGAGCCCATTAAAAGGGATGTTTTGTTGTTCATTTTAAACTTTTATTTTATTCTATACAAGCTTACTAAATGACAATAATTTTTCCATTTATCTTTCGTCTTCTAGAACAAATAGTTTAGAATAAGAAAAAACATTGAAGGTTAATCTCAAACTTTGTTGGAATGGCAAGTTGCTTAAAATTAATATTTACTCTAACTCTCAAAACTGTTATACTCATTCAATATGACTTTTTTGAGAACCAACCTTTTGCTGAAACTATCAAAAAAAATTAGGGAACTCACTATGAGATTGGATAATCACTTTTAACTACATGCTTAGAGAAGCAAATAATGTGCTTACTAGTAGGCACATAAAGCTTCTAATAATTATTTAGATATTAAGATTTTACAGGGTGCTTAAACCTTTTGTATTCTAATATAATTTAATTGCCTTTACTTTTGCACGCACTTTTCACAGATTTGTATTTAAAAAAAATAAGGCGGAAGAGAGGTGATGAATGCTAAACTAATATATTGAAATGAAATGATATGCAACAGAACTTATGATATGTCATTAAAAAACATATTTCATTTCATTTATAAATTAAAACAAGATAATACCCATTTCTGTTGGGTTTGTCATTGAGCATTAATTGAAGATTTACATTACCAACTCTTCAACTTGTGCCCACCATCGCCACAAGCTAAGGTTGTAGTGTTACATAACAAAACCAAAATAAAGGGCAAAAAAAAAAAAAAAAAACAATGGATATACAGAAAGTGAGATCAGATCATGTAGATTTCATTCGTCTTGGCCAGTCCATTAAGAGAACTCAAACTCAATTTCATTCAGCAACGCGAGCCACTTCTGCATTTAAGCGATCCAGCTGCTGCTGTAATAGAACTAACGAGTGACGAAGATTTTGCAGACAAACTCGAAGCTCGAGCATAGCTCGAAGACGATCCTTTCCCAGACGGCGTGAAAAACGCACCGTTTAGCATCAAATCCCCTGAAGACCTCCAGTTCCAGTTCTTCCACACATTCTCAGGCGAATTCTCCCTCTTAGTCACCTGAACAAGCCAAACTCTCAAACCATTAGATAATATTGTGAATGAATGTTCAGAATCAGAATCCTTTCAGTCATTTTAGTTTTCTCTAACCTCTTTGATAGTTCCGTCATTAGGAGCGAGAAATCTATTTCCTTGACTATAGATAGTTGGATTAGCACTCCCACCTATAGCATACATCTGCCACTGAGTGTAATCATTGTTTACCACATGGAAATATCCATGTCTGCATCTGCAAAACATACAAAACTTGGTTTAATGAATCCACCAACATGAAATAGATTCAAACCTTGATTCTGTCGAAAAAATGAGAAAAAGTTGTTACCTTGGCATTCTCTGGACTAACCCTTTACCGAAATGGTTGAAGGCAATGGTGACTTGCATGTTCTTGTCCCGCTCGAAGTTGTCACTGTGACCCAGAAGCATGACCTTGTCATGGCGAGTCATGTAATTGTTTGAGATTGTGATCGCTGTGGATCCATAAATGGCGTCGATGAGTCCGTCTTTGCAATTCCATAAAGAACAATGGTCAACCCAGATATGGCTTCCTCCGAAAATGGAAACTCCGTCACCGTCCGACACCGTCCTCCACCCGTAATGTGTCGGAGAATCTCTGACATAAGCATTACCTCCTGGTTTACAGTCATGAATGTTGATTCCGTGGATTATAACGTTGGTGACGAACTGGATTGTGATGCAAGGACCACCTGCGATGTGAACATCCACTCCTCTGCCATCGATGGTTTTGAATGAGTTCATGATAAGCTCTTGTTTGAGCTTGATCACCATGCTTTTCTTGAAGATGATCCACAAGGGCTTGTCCTGTATGACGCCGTATCTGAGAGTTCCTGGCTTAGGATTCACAGGGTGGTCGCCGGGATCGGTGACGACGTAGAATTTGCCGTCTCTGCCTCCGATGGCATTCTTGCCGAATCCGATGGCGCAATCTGCGAGACGCTTTCTATTCTTTGCCCAGTCGGAGTCGCACCTCCAACAATCATCAATGGGGTTTCCTGTTCCACAAGATAGAAACCCCAAGTTTCTTCTCGACGCATTGATGCTCCTGCAATAAAAACAGAGTTATGAAACAGAGATTGATGGCATGAACATGAGTAATATCAGAAAATCAAAGGTAGGTTTGTGTGGTGATTTCTGAGACATACTTGTGGACTCGTTCGACGACTAATTCTGGATCTTGAAGTGGGGAAGAGAAAACGGAGCAAGGAGCGACAAGAAGAAGAAGAAATGTGAATGAGAATGGAATGGCCATGTCTGTGTAGAGAGAGAGAGAGAGAAAGATTGTGAGATTTTGTGAAGAGAGATGAAAGACAATGTGAGGTTTATATAGTGGAAATAAGAGGAAGATAGCCTGGTTATAAAATGTTGGTGACAGTGGATAATTATTCTTTATTTAATAAAATAGTTGTTTTTGTTTAGTGTAAAGTAGTCTGGTTCATGATTAGGCTGGGTAAACCTAATATTACTCGAATTACATTGTTCTTTTATCATTAGAGAATACGCATTCGACTTACTTGATTCTTCGAGCCTAATTAATTAATAATAGGTATGTATAGGATTGTATGAATTCTTTGGGAGAGCATGAAATATGGGATAGAATAATAAAAAGTTGAATTATGAACTCACATGCTGTGTGTATAACTAACTAACTATACGCATTTGTTTACTTGAAGATAGCGTTGACTATTGCTTAGTCAAAATGTTACAAAGTCGTAATTCTAACTTCTAATTAGTTGTTTGGGATTGAAGAAAACGGCCATTAATAACCGTACGTTGTACTGGTACGTTTGGTGTTGGAGCAACTGCCAAGCAAGGTAATTAGGCAAACGAGGTTGCTTTTGGTCCTCCTCCTTTGCTAATAGATGCCCCATCGTCTATCGAGTGTATTTTAACTAGTAATTTAAGATAATATTTTAATTTTTCAGTAAAACGAATGAGTTTTTATTGGAAAAAAGTCTGCTTGGAAACTACGAATTTGAAGATGTGGATACTATCATAGAAATTAGTTGATTAATTTTTACATTTTTCATTTCTTTTCTTTTCACCTGTCTCTTTTGTTGAGATTTTCTAATCTTATTGTATCTGGATCTCAAATAAGACAAGATACAAGACTAAGATTAATATCATTCTCTTTTTAGGATGGGACATGAGGGCAATCCCAATTTGTCTTGTCCTATGCACTCCCTTAAGTGGTAAGCTTAGTATTAAAAATTGGTTTAATATGATCGATTGAACTAATAAATCATTAAACTAATTACTATTTTAATCAGTTCAATAAAATATTTTTTATAATTATTTTAATCACAATTTAATTATGATTTTAATTATTAATATTTGAACAAGTACATTAACCACTATATTTTTCAATACACAGGCTTGAAGGTGTCTAAAATATATTTTTCAAAAAAATAATTTACCTACTACTACTCCACATTCATGGAAAATATTTAGTTAGAATTAGTACTTTTTTAGGATTATTTTTATTCAAAATATATCAATAAAGTTTCATGGAAAAATTATGCCTTATATTTGATAATAAAGAATCTTTTCATACTATGCCTTATAAGACAACTTTAGAAATATTTTATTTTTTCAAAATATAAGAAAATTCAAGATAAAATTAAGATTTCATTAATAATGCTTTTTAAATATTACCCTTCAAGTAGAAAGAAAATTAAAATAATATTATAACATACTTACTTCATCCCTATATATAAAGTGTTTTTAACTAAATTCTACATACTCATAAAAATTTGTTATTCAGTTGAAATCACATTAAAGCACAATAATTTTTAATTTTGCTCTTAATAATATCAATTAATATCATGATGACCAAGTAATATCTCTTTCTGTTTTTAAGATAAGATTAAAAATATTTAATTACTCAAAAATATCATAACACCCTTTATATTTAGGGACAAAATAAATTTCTAAAAATACCCTATATATAATGATAGAAGGAGTAATAATTAAGTATGTAGAAGCATTTTGGAAAGTTTATAGTTTTATTTAAAAATATAAATTTGTAAAGTGTCATTATTAAGCTTTATTGCTATACATAATTTTGCTCTAAGTTACCTTATAATTTGGGATAGAAGGATTATGATGCCTTATACTTCATCTGTTAAAAAATATAAGGTATTTTTAACTAAATCTCACATTCAATAATGCAGTTATTTGTCTTCAAATTAACCCTATCTTTTTATAGTTATCCATATTTAATAAAATGTTTCACCATAAAATAATTTATTTAATAGGGACATTTTTAGAAAAAAGACAATAATTATATTTAGAAAAGCTAAAAATATTTTATATTTTTTAACACCCAAGCCCTCAAACAAAATTTTATATTTTTTAATGAATGGAGTATTTAATAGTATACATGCATACATATTAAACAGATTCTTAGTGTAACTAACCTTTAACTAATTTAACGAGAAAAAAATAGTCACATTGTTAAAATTATGTAAAATTACTTTGATTTTTATGTTTACCTCTAATGATTAATATATAATAACATTTGAAATAAATTTGTAAAATGCATCAAATAATGGTTTGACGAAAAACACATGGGATAACCGCCAACTGCGTGAGAGTAACTGAAATGTGGTGACGTGGAATGCAGGCTGTCGCTGACTTTTCTGGTTCCGTTTTCGTTCACACTTCGCAATGTTGTCTTTTTTTTTAAAAAAAAAAATTCTCTTTTCCAATTTTTAATTATTAGTGCATATTTGTTATTACTTATTACAGATTATTAATTTATTATTACAATTTTGTAAAGTCCGTCCTCTCGCCTCGTAAAGCTCCACATGTGATGTCCGTACGATCCGCTAATTTACCGACGTGGACGACTTTAAGTTTCATGAAAATGCATGTTCTGCCCCATGTGCCCTTTTTTGTTCACTTTTATTCAGATAAACAATTATTGGTATAAAAATATTAAATAGAGTAATGAAAAAATTTACCAGTTTTGATGGTTCATGGCCCATTCTTGATCATGTTTGGTCGCGAATTTACCTTTTTGTTTGGGTAAAGTAATGAAGTGGGATCTAGTTAATTATTTCCTTTATGTGTACGTAAAGTAAAATGATAAGTGAGATGAGCATAGCAATTGAATCAAATGCTTCTTTAAATATTTTAGTTATCATTCATATATGAGAGCCAAACTTTTAGACATCTTGAAAGGATTAAGTATTTGTTGGGTTGAAAAAATGGATAAGGTTTATGTTTATTCTGACCTTATAAAAGTTCCCACATTAATACATAACAAGTTCTTTACAAATCACCCTCTAATTGCAACTATCAATAAAATTAAAGATCTTGTTATGAAAGATTGGACGATCACCTTCTATTACATTCATAGAGAAACCAACAAATGCACAGATTGATTGGCACATCAGGCTTCTATCGACAATCTTAATGATGTTCACATTTTTGACACTCAACCACTTGGATGTAAAAATCTTTTGCATGCTGACATGATTCAACTAGAACCAAGAATAAGAGTTGGGCCCTGATTAAATAAAGGGTCGGGTTTTAAAAATTAATTTTTTTTAAAGTAACTAGAATTGAGAGCTTAACCCTGATAAGCCTTATAAAAAAGCGCTCAAATTTGGGCGGCCTTTCAAACTCTGTTATATTGTTATAAATTTTTTTTCAGTGGAACACGTGTTTGAAGTGAAGGACTTGCTTGCCTAAAACCTTGATCCTGCATGCAATATATTATTATTTATTTTAATTTATTTTAAAATTAATTTAATATAATTTAATAAATATTAGTATACAGTATAACATTTTTAATATTTTTTTTATTTTTCTATAATTATTACATTTGTGCATTTACAAAAATGAACTATTTTTTAACCAAGATTTGAATTTTTTTACTAAACTTGTAAATGTGCATTGTTTAATTTCTAAAAAATTATAAGAATTTTTATTTTTATTTTTAAAATTTTAGAATATTTTAATTAATTTATTGTGCTTAATTTTATTTTAAATTTTTAAATTTTTTCAGAATAGGGCTTACGGGCATGGCCCTAAACCTTTCAAATAAGGGTTGAGCCTCAAAAAAGTGATGAATAATGAAAAATTAGATTTAAGGACTCAGGTCCATAAGGGTCGAGCCTGCTCATTTTTCCAGCTCTAGACACAACATGTCATCTAACACAGTGTCTCCATTGCTTTTATTAAAAAAAAAAGTAAAATGATAAGTTCTAATTTTTGTATTAGGACAAATTAATTATTTAGTTCTCATAATTTCAACTCATTTATAATTCAATCCTTAAACTTTAACTCATTATAACTCAATTTTTAAAACTTTGACTCAATTATAATTTAATTTTTAAACTTTAACTCAGTGAAACTTAGTCACTATAGTTTAAACTATTTAAAATATTAATCCCTATATTTTAAAAAATAAAATTAGAAAGATTAAATCTTAATAATCTTTATTAAATTAAAAGTTTTAATAATTTTAAATTAGTCCCTAAATGTTAACATAATTTTAATTTTTAGAATTTTATTTTCAAGATATAATGACTAATATTTTAAATAGTTAAAAATAAGGACTACTTTCTTTATCCCTATATATAAAAGGTCTTCTAAAACCTTTTTCTCTCAAAATATAAGATATTTTCAGCATACTTTTTAATAAATGGACCATTATACCCTCATTCCATTGGAAAAAAAAAGATAAATACTCTTATTAATTTACTTTGAAAAAAGAGATTTATTTTTTATTTACAATAATTAGTGGCAACATTGTAATGTTGTTGTGCTTTTAAGAAGATAATCAACTTTTATTGATTTACATGATTTGATTAAAAATATTTTATATATAAGGACAGAAGGAGTAAGTTACAACAAGTCAAAATTTAAGGATTGAATTATAACTAAATTAAAAATCTAAAAAATAAATAATTAATTTTTCCTTTATATTATCAAGTAACATAATGCTTGCCATGTTGTTGTTGATGAATTAGTACCATTTTTTGATAGATAAAAAAATTAATTATCAAATTTTAATATGTGATGTTCTTAAAAAAGAGAACTTCTAAGAATTTATCCATTTTCGTTGACAATGCTAAAAGTGTTTAGATATATTTTAACAAAAATATAATTTTGATTTCTAAAATTGATTATAGAAAATACCTTTTGTGATTTAATTGATCATGTTTTTTTTTCAATTGGATAGAAACTTGTTTATTAAAAGTTAATTTGTCAAAAGTCGAGTTGTCAAAAAATTGTTTATATTTGGATATAGCTTTTTTTTAATTA